CCCATTCTTGATTGGATCATGATCCATCCGTCGAACCACCCTGTGACCATCCCTCCCCTCTTTGTGCATTCTTGGTTTGGAGCAGCTGTACAGGAAGCGAAGCCAGAGCTGAGCTGCCTTAGTTATAGACAGAACGTAATGTTCTGTTTGCAAAATGTGTTTAAGGTGTTTAAAATATCTTTCCTGAGTTTTCCCCTTTCAGAAATTATGTATGGATTTTCAGTGATTGTCTTATCATATATGATGATAAGATGTAAGCAATACGTCTTTTTTTGTGTGCTAAGCACGCCCCCTGCCCTACAGAGCTCCATGCAATAGGAAACTGAGCGCCAACCAGAACTAACCAATAATGTTAGACTACCGCTTACATGCTTCAAATTTAAGGAAGTACCTTGGCTGATGCAGAGTTGACGAACTTTTCACGGACAAGTAAGTAAATATAAATATGAGAACACAACATGACATGAGAATAATACTTGTAAAACAATGTGTTTTATCTCTGTTTGTTGGCTACAGAAGTAGTAGTTTATAAACAAAAAACATGAAGTCGCCATCTTAAATAACGAAAGGAGAAACTAATTGTGTGATATGCTTGTCTGCCACTAGATGGTGCCATCAGATAAGAGAAATACTCCGGAAAGAGACTTTAAGTCTAGTTCTGTTCTTGTTGGGAAATTTTCAGGTGATGGACCTGTTATCCACAATTCTGTAATTAATCAACGCGACTGTTCTTGGTGGAGTTTCAAGCAATTTCTGTGGGTTCTGCCCCTTTTCAGCACCTGCTTTGATGTGGCTCCAAGTGTACCAAGCCGAGCCAATAACGTGATGCCAGTAACTGTTGGTCATGATTGGCTAGGGGTGGAGTCACTGTTTTGACTGGAAGTTTTGACCTGTTCTTCGTGGAGTTTTCCCAGGTTGTTAGTGACCTTGAGCTGCTGTGTGTGCTCTCCTACGGCCCCTTTAAACTAACAAAAAATATACATGAAAAAAATGCTGATTAACTTTAAAGTTATAATACTGGCAGTAAAAAAATTGATCTGTTACTGTTGGTTAGTGCTAAGCAATGGTGCATTCATGGACTATCAGCTTTGTGGGTTTCATGCAGAGTATTGACCCATTCTAAGCACCAGCTTGTCTTAGAGCATCAATTATATAAATATGAAGTTAGCCTCAACAAATAGTTGGATGTGACAGTTCAGCTCCTTTTATTTTCCAGTGGTTTATTATTTTTAGTCTCCACAGAACCTGTTCAGCTGATATCACAGTTGCTGGGAGGAAATGAGATGATGTCGTGCTCCTGTTTACATGACATTCATACTTGCCTTGAATGCCAATTAGATGGCAGTCACCTGTGGCTGAACTAGAAAGCCGGCTTTTATTTTTTTCAACAGACGCACCAATTAAATAAAGGCGGAAGTTACAAATGAGAAGTGTACACAAAGATCCTGGTTTCTGATTTCAATCTGAGGTTGCAATTCCCTGCTTATTACCAGTTTGAGGGGATACAATTGCCCATCTTGACCCATGAACTAAAACTAAAAACTGCAGAGACTACCAGTACATTTGTTGATGCTCTCTGCTGCAGGATTAATTACTTTTGTCGTGTTTTTGAGCAGAAGCTGAAATGCTGCAGCTGCTGCTTTAAGTGCGATGCGGTTTGCTCACAACTAGATCCAGAACATTATGACCCACGGTTGCAGTGCTGGTTGGAATGCTGCACAAGCCAGCAGCAGCAACACACTGCAGGTTTGATTTGGGAGGGAATCACAGTTATGTCTTATCTCTGCCCAAATGATTGTATGAATAGATTAACTCAGTGACCTGACTGTTTATAATTGGACTGGAAGTGCTCTTGGCTACGCGCTGGACACGTGCCAGGATCAATGACTGGAAACTACGTAGCTTTTCTACGCTTTTGTTGTTGTTAGATTTCGGGTGCTCATTAAGATTTCCCAGCTGGAGAATGGAGGATTTTAAAACTTCCTGTTGTTTCTCACACCTAAGCTTTTAACTGGTTCCTTGGTTTGTAAATTGGTCTGCCCTGTGAGCTGCAGAGCACTGCTCGGTCCCTCGGCCTTCTGCAGAAACATGGCTGATTCCCTTGAGGTTTTCTTCCAGGATAATAGTAAGAAGCCCTTTCTTTGTCTCCTTCCTTCTTGTGCTGTTTTGCTTACCAGGCAGGAACCATTTCTATGTACCTCCTTTTTGCGAGGTGTATGGACAGCTTGTTCATAAGGCACACAGTAAAATTCTGGTGGCCGTGGAAGAAGTATTTGGCAGGTGTGAGGGGACATTAATTAAGTTTTCACTTTGACTCTGGCATTCCAAGATGGCTGGTTGTGCAGTAGCACGTTAATTCACCTCTGTTATGTTCTATCCTGTGGTGAACTTGTACAGTTAAAACGCGTCCTATCATCCATCAGTGTAATTTAATGAATTCATGTGCTTTACCTCGATTGCAGCAGAGATACGCACACAGGCCAAGTAGCCGCTGATCGATCAGAAGATCAGTTTGACTGATGAAAATGAACTTGAGAGGATGTGCAATGCAGCTTATGACAGATTTGATTACATTCTCTCTAGAGCGTTTAAACCGCCTGTGGTCAGCGCTGCTGCGGCGCTGGAGCTTGTGTTTCTACTGTTTGCTGAACTGGATCCCTGTTTTCCTCAAACCGATTGATCAAACTACCTCAATGTCCAAACATCATATCACCACAGCTCAGTGAAAATGACAAACTCACACACATCATTTCTGCATTATTTTATGTCTTGCTAGTGGGTCCAGTTTTCCGTGGTCTAAAGTGGAAGTCTTGTTTGATTGCAACATTTTATAGAGTTAAATCAAATTTATCCAGAAAGATAATGATGCAGATTTTTGATCAGATCCTCCCATTCTGTCAAATTTAAATACGCGCCCGATTACCGTAATGGCTCTAAAGATAATCTTAACAAATATTCCTGCCATGTGTGATGTGTTAGGACCACTCTGGTCTGCTCAGAAGCACGTTGGGCCTAGGGCTGCTCAGTTAATCGAATTTTAGCTGCTGTGGTTGGGACAATTATTACATTAACTGATGGACCTGTAAATAAATGGTTTATAAATGAGGTATAAATAAGTTCCTCACTAATAAATAATAACTAATCTCTATGAGACTGAGGACACGGTGCTAGTGCACTCTCCTACAGCACATTGACATGACTAAATACATATTATGCAAAATTTTGTGATCATCAATTTATTTGCATTTATTTGTTATAAATGCCACTGTATAATTCTTGCTGTCAGTATGTTGGTATTTGGGTCTGTACTGGTTACACTTAAATGAGTTAAACCAAGGTCTGTAGCCCTTCAATGTTGTTGTAGCCAAAGTTTAATGCCCCCGCTATCAAAATCGTCACTCCTCTTCGCCTTCCTGATTTATGTGAGGAAAAATAAACCTGCTTGAATCCTAGTTAATTTAGTTTAGTATGCTCTACATTGTCAAGATGTGATTCTTGCAAGAAAGCTATTTAAATTTGGTCTGTTTTTAATTTTGATAGTATTTTTTCCCGCTTTATTGGGTTGAGGACTCCATGTACATTATAGGAGGCCACATTTATGTTTCTGCTCTTTTGAGTACCAATAAACTCATCCAGCATTCTGTTCCTGATGACAGCCTTGTCATAGAAATAGATAACACACACCGAGTGTAAGCCCCCAAAAACTAAACAAGTAACATGAACGAGAATTTCAAACATAGAACAGATTGTTACGATGTCCAATGTGGGGTCCGTAAACGGGACCCTGTTGAGCTTCTCTTGAAGAGCTCGAGGGGGAAGTCCCCGGTCCTGTTTCCAGAGTGGGGGCCCTTAGCAGCATACTGAAAAAGATCCCTAGCCCCGATCTGCTCTTTAATTCGATGAGTATCACTGTTCTTGATAGAATTTTCCTCTTAAATACATCCGGCTCTGCAGGAGAAGAGGGAATCGGAGCCAACAAAGTGGAGGCCTGGGCTTGGGGGGGGACCACATCTCTCTACCTACTGCGGCTCCGGAGGTGCAGGGGATGGGCGCCTGAAGGCCCTCAGCCTCTCTCTGTAGCCGCCGTCCCGGGCAGTGGCGGTCGCCCTTCTCTTTGCGCCCCTCTGTGGTTTCCTTCAGGTCAGCTGACGAATCTGCTCCATCAGCGTTTCAGGAGATTTAGCGATCCTCACCCTGTAGCCCCTGGCCACCATGTCTTCAGTTGTTTCTTCAATGTTGTCGTAGATTTCTATCTCTTCTTTATATGAAACTTTCAACCTTGCCGGGAAGAGCGTCTGGAATGGAACTTTGTTTTCCTTGAGCGCTTTTCGGACCTCTGCGTACTCTCCTTTGGAGAATAGCATGTGGGAAATCATGATCTATTTTAATCACATTCTCCTTCCATTTATTCCCTTGCTCTGCCATGCCTTGCGGAGGACCATTTCTTTAGTCTTGTAGCTCAGAAACTTTACTATAATGGAGCGGGGCGGGGCACCGACCGGTGATGTGGGCCCTAGTGAGCGGTGTGCTCGCTCAGTATGGAGATCGCCTGCTCTTCGGAGAGTCCGAGTCCTTCGCGGAGGAGGTTCCCCACAAATGTTGTCACTGAGGCACTTTCGCTTTCAGCCCCTCTGCAACTCCATAAATCCTTATATTTTCGCGTCTAGTTCGACTTTCCAGATCCATTATCTTTTCCTCTAGCTGCACATGTAGCTTTAACATGTCTGTTAAAACTTGCTCCGTATTTTGAGTTCTGTCCTCCAGCTTTCCAATTCGCTCTTCTGCTTCACTCAGTCTGGTGTTTACTTTTGCGATTTCTTCATTTATCGTTTCGAGCTGCTCTTTGTTTTCTTTTCAGAACCCTCTCAGCTTGTGTAGGATCGCCTCCAAATCGCCCATTGTTGTCGTTGTTGTTAGCTGATCCACGATTAGCATTAGCCTTCCGTACCTCCGTTAGGTCCTCCTCTCCCGCTGCTCTTCAGGGATTTCCACTGGTTTTCAATGCTCAGTGAGTTTCTAGCCCCCTTTCTAATGCTCTCTGAATGTAGTAATTACTCAACTTGTTGGGGGTTGTAGAGAATTACTGGGGGGTCTCACGGGAGCTCTCTCAGCACGCAGCCGTCACCATGATGTTCCGACCGGAAGGAGCTTTCCAAATTTCGAAAGCAATCATACACACACTCTGAAACGGGGAAAACCCCCAATAAACATTTCTTGAATTCTCAAGTTTTGAAGAGTTTTACCTCGCTGCCAAAGACTTTGCAAAATATTCTTTCCTTTGCTTAAGAAATTTTCTCTTTATGCCTATTTTAGTCTGTTTTCCCTTTTTTGGAAAGACGTTTTACTTGCCACAGGATTTTTTATTTTCAGAAATGTTTTGCTAAATCTTAGATGAAAGGTTATTGATCTGGTTCATTTTAAATCAGAGAGTCTGCTCTTGTGTGTTTCTGCTTTGGTTGCATCACTTATTTTCATTACCAAGTCCCAAGCAGCTGAAAATTATTCGGGGAAAAATAGAAGCATACGATTATTTAAATAACTGGCATAAGTATGTCTCAGCAGTGTTTTCCTGCCTCTGCAAAGAAAGAACAAAACAAAGACCTACAGCAGGTAAAATACTCTCAGAGCTCAAATCTTTTAATACACAAACTTAGTTTTTCCTCTCCTTAACTTTTAGGAATTTGTTAAATATTTGATATTTGCAATACTCAGTATGTGTTCAATACTTGTGCAAAATCGAATTTACATAGTATGGCTGTGTCATTTTTATTTGTTGTTTTAGGGATCAAAGGTTACAATAATAGCTTAATGTCTTGTTTTTGTGTATATACATGTACCTTTGTTATTATTTGTCCTCTAATTATTCTCTTAAGTGTTGGTGCTGCTGTGAATTTCCCCACTGTGGGATCAATAAATTCTATTCTATTCTATTTGGGTTATTGCAAAGATGCTTCATAGGGAGGCTAATCAGGAATCTTTCCTGATTGTTTTTGTGATTTTTCCTCTTATCAGAGTCATCGGGCCAGTGAATAACTCCCAAACGTCACGGGCATCTGTCATATCGACAGATTGTGGGCGACGGTGGCACAGGAGTTAATTGCTCGCCCCGTAATCGGAAGGTTGCAGGTTCGAGCCCCGCTCAGTCTGTCACTGTCGTTGTGTCCTTGTCGTTGTGTCCTTGGGCAAGACACTTAACCCACCTTGCCTGCTGGTGGTGGTCGGAGGGACCGGTGGCGCCAGTGCTCGGCAGCCTCGCCTCTCTGTCAGTGCGCCCCAGGGCAGCTGTGGCTACATCGTAGCTCATCCCGACCAGTGTATGAATGTGTGTGTGAATGGGTGAATGACTGATTTTGTTGTAAAGCGCCTTGGGGGGTTCCAGGACTCTAGAAGGTGCTATATCAAATACAGGCCCTTTACCATTTACGTCTGCTGTACCAGTCTGTCAGCCGGCTGTTGACTGACCTCACTGCTTGAACTCAGTCGTACTAAAAAACCGAAATGGTTTCTTTTGAATCCCAGAGCTACACTGAGCTGAAACTCAAATGCTCTAAAATTCACCTTTTTGTATCCACAGCATAAAGTGCATTTTATGCTTAGTTTATAAATTAGATTTCATTTGGAGCTGAAATCAGCAGCTTTTGTGCTTTTTCTGCTAATCTGTTCACTTCTTTCCTGTGCTTAAACATATATTTTATACGTGGTTTTACTGATATTAAAAAGTCCTAAAAGAGCTTCATTTGCTGTTCTCATGCAAACATAAAACAGATTTTTTTCCCTCTGCATTCTTTTTGCATCATCTCTCAGCTTCAGTGAGGGGATGGATTGTCTGCACATCCTACCATAAAACCCAACCCTTCCACTGCTCATGTGTGAAAACAGCTTATGTTATTATGTGCATGAACAGTATTATATAACTGACAGAAAATCAGATGCAGTAGATCTGATCAGCCACCCACCATGCTCTGCTGATTACGCTAATACTCTAATTAGGTCACCAGTTGATTGATGAGTTGGTTTCCAGTGGGGAATAACGAGGCCATGGGAGTAAATGTTTATAGGCAGATGTGATTTAGGGACACATATGCACACAATATGGCTCTCTGACTCTGTTTGCCTCCACATCTAATGAGTCTACAGAAACATCTCGATGCATAATATAATACAAACTGATTTTTGCACAATAAATGGCTCTATTACCACCCTTTAAACTCTTGTTTAGCTAATGATGAATCAGTGTAACCAAGAACCCATCTAAACATGTTAAAAATGGAGATCAGCCGATTTGTAGATTTGTTGCAGATCCCGATAGGTAGAGGTCATGGTCAGCCGATGGTCAACATGTTCTGCTAAGTGTCTGTGCATATTTTCGTGCCTGATGTTTAGACATATTCCACCTTATTTGAGTGCTAAAATATCACCAATGACATCAGTGGATACACGACATTCCTGTACCTGAATCTATTTTTGAACACTGAATTTAACCAACTGTTGAACGGCTCTTTGAGATAAACGACCGACTAATGAACAGCTCCCATGAAAGAGCTATAAGTCCCATCACTACTGCTTTTCAGATATAAAAAGGAGGGCGATTTATTGAGAAATGAAAGGGAACTTCTCTGTCTAGGCCCACTCGGGGCTGTTTAACAAGACTCCCTGCAGGGAAATGTTCTCGCTAAGTTCAACAAGACAAAACATTAGTATGGTAATACCATCGAGATATGAAGTAGTATGATAGTAGTGAAAATATACAACTTTTATTTAAATAATTCAATTTGCCAAGATGTTTATTTTCACTTCTGGGACTCTGAGAAGTTAGCATTTAAATATGGTGATTGTTTAGAAGTAGTGTCCAAACCACCTGATGCTGAATCAGTTTAAACTCATTATAGACCATTTATAATCTTAATGTTGGTTTTGTGTGATATGTGTGGAAGATTTACACAAACAAAGAAAACAAACAGGAAGTGGATCTATAACCTCTTTCTATAACTTGACAGTAAATGTGTAAATGAAAGAAACGCTTTCCAAGAGCCACAAATGACCTCACCACAGCGGAACTTCCCCTTATAAATCTTGTTCACTTGGTGGCTGAAAAAAGACATACTGAGATAAAAATTAAAGCGCAACCTTGAAAGCAAGCCACTTAGATTTATTTTTTCTTATTTATTCATAGTAGCAGCTGCAGAAATTATAGTAATTGTGCTTCATCTGCTGTGGAAAGGTTTTTTTTAACCGAGAGGATGGACTTTGAACTTTATTGTCAACGTTCAACAACATAGCGCCACACACACACACACACACACACACACACACACACACACACACACACACACACACACAGAGGGCTGCAGAACGCTGCATTTGCTAATGATCAACCAGCAAGTTTCGGGTAAGTTTCTGGATTTCCTGACAAGCTGCTTCTAAAATAAAAAGGAAATATGCCGCGACTCTACAAGCTACAGATTTTCATTCATTCATGAAGATGGAGGGTTACTGTTTACACCCAAGACTCTGTTCAGACAAGCATTTGAGAATATTCACTGAAATTATCCTAGCCGGCTAACGTGCCTGAAAATGCCTATCCCATGACCAATAACAGATGATACCATTACACTTTGAAGATGATGCAAAAAGCTTTTGAGCAATAGTTAACTTTCTACGTAAAGAGGCAACTGTGAGCAAAATAAGATGCATGTATGAAAACTAAATCAAAACAATTGTATTTTATTATTGTCAGCTCTGCTGTTGAGGCCGCCATCTCTGGAGGGAATTTAATGGGTTGATAAAACTAATCTCAAAGTAAATAAAGAGAACTCTTGTCAGTGTTTCCAAATATTTCAGATTTCACCACATGGTGTTGAGACTCTTTTCTTTTGGTGTGCTTTGCCTTGGTATAGTTCTTGCAATGAAACTCAATAAAGTCAATGTTTTTACGTGTTATGGACTGGATTCTTTTTTAAAAGCGTTTAAGGTGGATCTGAATAATCTTATTGGGCAATAAAGGAAACAAAAATGAAGACCTTTGTTTTCCTTGTCCAGCAATTAAATAAGTAGTTGCCCTTTTGGCGTAGTTTTAACCACTATTAGAGCAAAATCCAAAACAGACTAAAAATGAATTCAAGAATTAACATAAAAACCTTTGCGTTTACCTCTTCAACGTTTTGGAGTGAAATAGTGAGAAATGATGTGTGCAAACAGCAAAACAAATGTGCCAACTTGATTTAAAAACATTCAATTCTTGATATTTTTCTTTCACCCAAATAGCAAGTGAATAGATATCAAAAATACACAAAGTTTTTCCCAAAGTTCTGTCTTGTTCTCTGGCTGAAGTTGAAGTCCCATAGTCCTCATCACACTGTTGAAATGACATCTCCCTGTGGGGAGCGGTGAGCTACAGCAGTGGCTGCGCTCGGGAACTATTTGTTGATTAATCCCCCAACCCAACCCCTTAAAGCGGAGTGTCAAGCGGGGAGGAACTGGGTCTTTGGTATGACCCAACTGTAGATGAATTTTGTACATTTGAGAGGAAGATTTGTATTATTGTTTTGTCCTTTTTGGACAGGTTTGTGCAGATAGCATCTCGTCAAGCTGGTGTGTGAAGTAATTGTTGCTGTTTCTGATTAAACAAGCAGCAGTTTGGCTTCGGAAAGGGGCACAGTCATCAGCAACGAGGAATTGTTTTCATGAGCCAAGCCACGTGAACTCTGTCCATCCAACGCTGGACTTTGTCGTGTGTGCTTACCTGTTGGAGGTCCTTTTTTGCCTCCGCTTGTGCCTGTCTATGTGCAGCATTATCTTATTGTCCCTAATGGTGTCTGGGAGCTGGAGACAGGCAAGGAGAGGTCAGCGAGAGGGAAAGTGCAGCCTAAAGCCAGCTTCCACTTTGAAACCTCAGCTACCAACTGGTGTTGTTCAGCAGTTTGGCATCCACCTCATTAGAATTTTTCACATTCCTCTGCAGGCAGCTGAACTCAGCTTCTTTTTCAAAGTTCTCCTTAACCCAAATGATCAGATTTGTTGTTGAGGGATGCTGCTGCTATCGTTTCACACTTTGTTCCAATCGAATTTACCATAACCATGCTTTATGACCAGACTCTCTTTATATTTTTGTTCTGACAGCTGTCCGAGAAGAAGATGTGTCTGAATAAGGAGACCACCTTAGCTGTTAGCTTTGCAATTACCTTTTTAAAAATGTTTTGCGGGAAAATGGTCCTCTCCGAGTTGGATTAAGACTTTCTTTGCGGAACTTGTCGCCCACCCAGATCATTAGATATAGTTTAGCAGGTTTACCATCACTGACTGTAAAGTATATCAAGTGTTTGAAGTGTGTATTTATTGTGCCGTCTCTCCCACGTGAAACCCCAGTGGAGTGCTTTCTAGATAAAAGAAGGGGAAGGATCGAGGACACACTGCTGGATGTGATGGCAATGAATACACACTGGCAGTCCTCCAGAACTGTCGTCTTGTGTAAGGCTTGGAGTGAAATCTACTTTGCCCGTGGTTAATCTCTGCCCACTACTTAGAGCTGTGCTGCAGTGATAGCGAGGGTTTGGCACTGTCGCTAGTCGCAGAGCATCCCAGGACAATGGTCACAATGAATATCGATACACTATTGAAGCGTACCGCCCACATTTATTGTCCTTAGTTGAACCCCTCATTATCCAGCTTTTGCACCTATTCGATCTGCAGCTGTTGATGCATTGATCAAAACTCCTCGTGCACGCTTGTTTCATAACAGACCTCTTACCCGGAAAGTCAGTGTAGCACTTTTCTCTGACTATCTGCCCAAGCATGCCCTACTCCTCTCCTCCACTCACACAGGCATTCATCACTTCCTCCACTGAAATTGGTGAAATTCCAGGATCTGAACTTGCGGTTGGATGGTGCTTGTGTAGTTTGTCTGCCAACACGCTTGCTTGTTTTCCCCGTCCAGCTGTGTGGTTCTCAGGTTTGCTCAATCATACGTGGGCAAGTTTGTGCGTGGCGTTCAGACAGATTCATGAACGGGAGAAGAAAGCAGATGTAAAACCGGTGAGACAGACTGCTGTGCGTCTGCTGAGCTTAAGGATTTCCATCGTGGGGTAATACCACTGAGAATGTGCTGAGACCTCAAATTACCCCTCACTCATCAGCACTCCCTTCAAGACAAGAAACTATGTTGTGTAGGAGGGACTAAATTTCCTTTTTCTGTTCCAAATCTCAGTCATCTTCCAGTTAATGAGTTGCAGCAATCAGAAAACAACACGTTAATCTGATATAATTCATTTTTTTGCCCAGATTATTCTTTTTTCCCCCTAATTTTCCTCTGTTCATTGCATCCTCCTACATTTCATTGTTTATTCCTCTGAAACACATCTGGTTCAAGCGTTGCTCTTCAGCTCACCAAGCTTTTAATTCATCTGGTTTCCCTGGCAAGCCTCATTTACATGGCCAAAGTGATGTTCCCGTGCCAGGCAACTTTCAAAGACTTCAGTGTGTTGGAATGGGGCCCCCAGTTTTGCCCAAGCCAGCACAGAGAGACCTTTGTGCCTGCTGCCCAGCAGCCCCCAGAGAAGAGAAAGATTAGGAGCCAGGGAGAGCCATTGGACTTAATGGTAGGGTGCCTGTCTGAAAGCCAGTGGTGTCGGGCAAACAGCCCCTTATCCCATTCAACCACGCGTAATTACAAGCTTGTAGGGCAATCCCTTGAATCTTTTGTTGGGGCTTTGGTAACACTTGCCGTGTGTGCTGGGAAACTTCATGGAGTATGAAGACCAAGAACGAGGACTCTTTCAACTGCAGCATGTTGTCCTTTATTTCAGGAACAACAAGCAGCCAAGCCCTTGGGATCCTGGTTTTGAAATTACTAACCACTCCAAGCTTTAAAGATCGACTCAGGGTGTTTCTGATTCACAATGTGACTCATCTGTCCAGCTGGGTGTCTTCTGTCTGTCTTCCTCTTTTAATCTCATGTATTACATATCTGTTATGTCACAAAAATCCCAAAAGCTCTGCTGAGTAACACACAGACCGAGTCTGTAGAGGACATGTTTCACTCATTCATGTCTCATCCCTACAACCAGGTGTGCCTTATTATCACCAACCCTTCATCTGCTGATTGTAGTTTCAGCTGAGAGGTCAGAGCACCAATTACAGGAATTAAAAATGAATTCAGTCAGCAGGTTTAGGCTGTCTGGACATGTCCTACTTACCTGGGAAGAGGAAAACAATTCCTACATTGGTGCGTTTTCAGGATGAGTTGAAACAAGACGGCGTTGTGTTGCAGATCGTTTGTTTTCATCTTTCTCTTATCTCGCTTGCAAACTGTTCCAGAAAAATACTCACAATGTATTTCCATGAGATCTTCAAAATCAAAGTACTTGTGGTTTTTTGCCTAGCTATGAGAAAAGACCAAATAATGTGTATGTTTGAATGAGTAACATATTGTAAAGCAAAACCTAAAGAAGGTTAAAAGACTATACGCATGTGGACTTTTTACGACTTAATCAGATATTTCCATCCCGTCTACTCGACTGCCATCAGATTAGCTCTGTTTTCTGGGACGTGTGTGCGAGTGTGTGTGAGAGCACACATGTAATGTATTTGTTCTGTTCATCAGTCGCTCCCTGAGGACGGCTGCTTTACGGAACGAGGCCCAACGCTTTGGGACTAGACATGCTATCTCATTTACATTCTGACCGTTTTCTCACCCAGATAAAGAGGGTGTTTGGAGGACATGATTTTTCATTTGAAGGTTTTTGCTAATCTGCTGCTCCAGAGTTGATTTACCACCAGGCACCAAATAGTGGGCTCCAATTAATTTAAGTGAATAATAGAAAAAGACAGATTATGACTGTGATGATAACTGATCTGTGTATACAAATGATTGCTTCTGTTCTCATTTCTGAATGTTTTATGTAGGTTTTATTTCACACATTTTGCATTTCGTTAACAGTTTGTCAGTATACCCTGCTAGCTCTTCGGTAATAAATGCTAGAAAAAACACTTCGGCAAATGTCGCAACTAACCCCCCAGAAAAGTGTGAGAGGTAGGGACCGTTTTCTGTTTTTCAAATATCAACAATTTTGCTACAGAAGGATCTTAATCTATGATTTATGGATATTGAGTCTGTGTTGCCAAATCGGACAAATTAATATACTGCAATTTCATTATGTCTTGCTTATTTGTGTCAGAGAAGTCTTGGTGGCTTGTAATTGAAAGATTATGTTATGTAAAAAAGAGTTTATGCTTAACCAAACATCTATTCGAGTTATAATGGTGAGTAGAACTATTGGTGACTTTAAGGTTCAGTAAGTAGAGGTGTTTATCACGATATGACATATCGATACAGCGAGTTGCAATGATGTTTGTGTATATCTCAATTCAGTCACAAACAAGACCATTCGATCTGATTTGGTTTAGGATCCACTAATCAACAAGTGACTGAACACAATGATTTCCCAGAGGACAGACAGTTTCTTTACCGACTGTTTCTCACTGCTCGCCATGACGTCGCTAGCGTCTTGATTTAATGAATATTTTAAACAGAACTTCAAAATAAAGCAATTTTCTAAATAAAAAGTTATTCTTTTGATTGAGATGTCAATAGAATACCGATTGATGTATTGATATAGATCAGTGCATTTTCACACCAAAGCTGCAAAAGTAAATTTGTTAAATAAATTAGCTTGAAACGTGTTTTCGTGCCTTTTTAACAGCCTTCTAACATAGTTACGTTATAAATATATTATAGAGATTAAAAAAATATGAGAAAATAAAAAAGTGATTCTTTCTCATTTGTCTAAAATCCTCTGCCAATAACACATTTCAGACTGAAAGCAACTATTGGACCATCCGGTTGTGGGTCTCGCCGAACCGCCGCATTTCCGCACTTTCCTGTCCTCCCTTCATTACCCACTCACGTATTTTACAACAGAACACCACTGGTGTGAGAGGTTCACTCAATAATATCAAAGAAAGGGAAACAGCTAGCTGCTACCACTTCAACTTTAGCACAAACTACCAGAGTCCCAAAAAGAAAAACACCAACACAACAAAAGGCATTTAGACCTAGAAAACAGCGACTGGTGTTCAGTGCTGTCTATGGTAATGTGGGTTTACAGTTACATTTGAACACAGATCCAGGAAGATATGCAAGGTGGAAGAGTAAATCCTGGGGCACACCAGAGACGCCTGAGATTTTGAGAAGTCAAGTGGTCACACAGGACGCACTGTGCCATGCCGCTGAGCGCTTCATGGAAAGTCGCGTGAGAGTCACAACATCTCGCGGGACTTGAGAACAAGAAGCAGGAAGTGACTATTGTTTATAGGTGATCAGACTGCCGTCGTTTTTTGTGAGACTCGAATTTATTAAAATTGGGTAAGTGCGCTATGTATTTGAATATTTTAAGGTCAATAATACTTTAAAGTTATCCAAACTGCGGCTGGGTTTGTGCTGTAAAGTTGTTCCACGTTGTAATGTCTGTTGTAAAGTACTCCATAATGCGCTTGAGATAGATCTGGCGCCTATCTTCAGCACCTTATCGCAGCGCTCCCAGTGTGCCCATTCTCATTAACTAGAATGACTTCTACTTAAAATGATGGTGCGACGCGGGGTGTCCGCCTCTAAGTGTTCCATGACTGTGTTTTCATTCAAAACCTAGCTTGTTTGTAGATTCGCCATAACACCTTTAACGAGTAATGACAAAAACTTTTAGCTGGTAAGTAAATGCCTTATGGTTGTGGGTTTAATCACAAAATGGTTGCATCCTGGGTATTAACTGTAAAATAACCTATTCTTGTTTTATAGTGTGGTGCAAAAGATTTGAGTACTTAATTATGTACAGAATGCTCCACAACTTATAAAAATACATTAGTAGTCATAGTTTTTGCACTTATGGTACAAAGCAGCTGCCAATTGTAACATCTGCTGACTGAAGTGTTACTAGTAGACTTTTGTTCTCAAACAGTAGGATTATTTTTTGATTGACTGAGGTTGCTTTGCCTGAGGTATTTCTGAAAACTGAATCCTCTGCATTGCAGAGCCTGGAGATTTTCACTCCTGCCCTCTTGTCAGTGCAGGAGGACTTGAGACTTGGCTTGCAAATTGATGCTGATAGATCAAACTAGCTGTGCTATCTGGGGAGCATTTGACCCATCTTTCAAATGTCTGTACCACAGTTGTTTCGGGCTCTGCATCCGCCTCTTTTATTATTTAAAATGGAAAAGCATTCGTTTTATTACTACTGAATCTTTTTCTGCTGAGCTAGTCTGAACATCCAGTTGGTCCTGGTGTTTTTGATGCAGTGTGAAGGTGGCTGTGCTGCTGGCTGTCACAGTGCACTCATTGCTGGTGGATAATGGGATCACAGGCACAGCCTGGCAAGACCAAGCAAGGGAAGAGGCTTTTCTCTGTGCATCACTGCCAAATTTGCCCAATTTCTCAGGCAGTGGATCATCGCACATTTTGAGATTAATTTTAAAGGCCTATTTGCTTTTTGATGTGCATGTTGGCCTATTTGATCTTGATGGCTGATATTTAGCTTTACAAATCACTGCAAGATCAGAGAGCACAGGCCTTAAACCAGTGGGTTTAGACTCGAGCTGTTTTTTGTCTAGCCAAAATGTGTAACTCAGGTTCAGTTTAGATAAGAAGGAATTTAGAAATCAAGCCCAAAGTGGTTTTCTAATCTAAAATGTAACTTAGTTTTACTTTCTTCCATTCCTGTTTATCAGAGAGGGCTTTGTGAGTCCCAACCGGTCCCAACACAAAGGTACTTATGGTTAATTGCTCCTGGGAGCATTACTGCATGGTGCTAACAGGTTTCTCATTCCTTTTCAGGATTCTGCGTTTGGAGTGGGAAACATGACAAATGGCTGTGTTGGTGCAGTTAAAGCAGTATGCATGCTTGAGTGTTGAAGGGCCCTCCTGCTTCTTCACTTTTTGATCCAGACAATCAAATTGCTCATGAGGTCAGGGAGCAGCATCCGGTCTCAGAAGCAAACATGTCCATCTGCTGAGTGCCTTTAGTCTTTGGCACTGGTGTCATGACCAGCCTGAAGCGCCCACCCATGGAGTGCTCTGTCGGGGGCTCCATCCCTGCCACTAATGAGTTTTACACTGGCCAGCTCCGAACGGTCAATGGAGGAGCTTTGCCAACTCGCACAGACAACTTTCATTCCAGTGTGAGCACAGGAGTGCCTAAAATGGGTGTTAGGGCTCGTGTAGCTGACTGGCCCCCGAGAAAAGAGATTTCAGGGCCATTGTGGCACCCGTCGGCTGATACTGGGACTGGTGTCCCCTCCGTTACTAAAGGTCACATAAAGTTAGGATCTGTTTTGAGCCCTCAGGACTCATCAATGCTTCGTAACATCCACAATAGTCTGAAAAATCGAACCCAAATCCAGGCTAACAATTACTGCCCAAACACACGTTACCTGGCGCCAGGAGACTACAGAGGTCCTGCACGTAAAACCCCCCAGCAGAGATGCATCCGCCAACGCAGCAATAGTGACATGACTATCAGTGAGATGGAAGGCAGTGGAGAAAGTGGAGAGGACTGGGATCCATCCGCAACAGCCAAAATGTCCCCTCTTCATCGTGAATATGGTAGCACCTCCTCTATAGATCAACATGGAGTATCCGGAAATAGCTTCTTTGAAATGCTTAAGGGCTACAAAGAGGACAAATTTGACCAGCATAACCCTGCTCCGGAGAAACTAGAGGACATACTAAGTGTTGGAATCAATCAGGGACTTATGGAGCTACAGGAAGATGTCACAGATGGCCATCTTAAACCTAGGGACAAGGACAAGCCTCCAAAGAGACGCACCAAGTCTGAAACAGGGGGCGAGTCTATATTCAGAAAACTAAGGAATGTAAGAGGTGAGCTGGACTCTCCTAGAGCTGGATCTGATGTGGACGACAGTCGGACAGAGGACATGGTCCTTCCTTCAAAACCTTGGGTTTGTCAAAAAGGTTTTTCCCACTACGACGTTCAAAGCGCTCTTTTTGACCTCAACAACGTTATTCAGTTAAGACAAACTGCAGGCAAGAGGAAAAACACCACCACCGGAGCGTCTGCTGCTGCTGTAGCTTCAGCTACCTCCACTCTATCCTCCACCCACAGCCTACCTTACAGCTCCCCCAGTGGCAGCCAAGAGGAGCTCAGTTTTAGAGACAGTCCAAGTTTGGATGCAGGAGATGAACAGAGCAACGACATGCTCTTAAGTTGCCCCTGTTTCCGCAATGAGATCAGTGCTGATGGAATTGCGAGGCGCAAGCTGGGAGCAGCTGGAGCTGGGTATCATGGGCTCATGAGTGGTGGAGTTAGCATCTCTGGGACACTGACCGGGGAAAGTCATTTGTATGAAACATCTCTGAGCACACACTGCACCAATGCTGGAGTAGCTGTCCTCGAGGGACCTAAGGAGGGACCTAGCACACTCAGCGAAAAGGGCAAACAATACATTGTGGAGCATGTGGACCAGGGAGCTTATTACTACAGGAAGTTTTTCTACCTCCGAGGTAAGATTAATTCAACTATTTTATTTCATTTCCTTTAGATTGAAGCAGTAAAGTTGGATATCTTTCTAAATTGGTCTTTGGTTGTAATTGTCGTACATCAGAGCACTGGAACTACTTTGGGATCGACGAGGCGCTGGGCCCAGTTGCAGTGAGCCTTCGCAGAGAGAAACTGGAGGATGATAAGGAGCATGGCCCACAGTATAACTACCGCCTCATCTTCAGAACCAGTGAGGTCAGACATAAACACACCTATGGTCAGTTCTGTCATAACATGTAGACAAAGCAGATTTTTATTGATAGTCATTAATATGGGATTCGAATGTTTTTGCTACATTTTGAAAATACAGCACTCTTTTTATTAGGGGCACCACATGTATTAGCAAGAATCTGGTGATATGCAGTATATCACAATACAGGGGAGACGATATGATATATTGCGATACTAACAGCCAGAAAATATTTGTGCATTTGAAACTCAGGCCAGATATCCCGTGTCATTGTGAAATCTTGTTTTTCCATTAGAATAAAGATGGTGAAAACTGCTGCCACCTAGCAGTTGAAGTTTGAATTGCACCTCTAAAGGAATTCAGTAAATGTTTGCAAATTCTCAATAAAAAAGTCAATACCCTGCTTTTAAATATTGATTTGGTCTCATGGCACAGAATATTTCAGTGTAACGATATTTTCTTACATCCCTGCTTTTAGGGATTTACTGAAGTTGATATTTACTTCCTTTGCGTGCTGTACTAGGTTACACCACATCACTAGTCCTTATTTCTCATTACGCAACTACCCTCTGAGCTATTCAACTGTCTCCCTCAATATCAGCAATGTGTGAAGAAACGCCAGGAACCGCACTTATCCTCCAGTCTGCAGGGCCTGTTTGCATCTTTAAAGAGCAAGTCACCCCCAAATAAACTTTTTTTTTTGCTGATAAACTAAATAAACGAGTGTCTAATCGTGCTGCAGACACGTGTAGTCAATAATTTGACACTTCAGTGCATCTTAAAATTCTGCCTAAAACTGGCAGTGTTGCACCGTTGTCAGGTAAAAACTCTGCACTGTATTTTCACTTAAAGAGCAAGTCACCCCCAAATCAACAATTTTCTTCTGATAAACTATATAAATGCGTGTCTAATCGTGCTGCAGACACGTGTCGTCAATAGTTTTTCACTTTAGTGCATTTTAGTTATAATTTAAATTTTCTGCCTGAAACTGTCAGTGTTGTGCCGTTGTCAGGTAAAAACTCTTCACTGCATTTGAATTTAAATCTGCCACCGCTATTGGCTAAGAGGTATGCTATGATGTAAACTGGTACATTATGATGTCACAATGTCGTGAGTGTGTGTATTTGTTAGTGGCTCCACCCTCTCGGTCTGCTAGGCAACAGCATTTGTTGCATTTTTCAAACATGAAGTGGGAGTGAAGTACGCTTCTTGTAAGGGGTGACTTGCTCTTTAAATCTGCCACCGCTATTGGCTAAGAGGTATGCTATGATGTAAACTGGTACATTATGATGTCACAATGCTGTCGTGAGCCTGTGTGTGTGTGTGTGTGTGTGTGTGTGTGTGTGTGTGTGTGTGTATTTGTTAGCAGCTCTCGGTTTGCCAGGCAACAGCATTTGTTGCATTTTTCAAACATGAAATGGGAGTGGAGTTAGACTCTGGTAGGGGTGACTTGCTCTTTAAACTACAGAGCAAAGACCTTCATGTCTCAGTTTAAGTCTTTTAGTGGTGTTTGATTCCATTTGGGGCGTTATTCACACACTTTTAGACTGGGCAGGTGCATCTGAACCTCACAGGTTACAACGAAGCACCCCCACTCCTTCATCCAAACGTAGAAACACTGGTCCTTTGTAAACATTAGCTCAGCACGCCCTCCAGCTCACAGGAGAAAGTCTCCATCTGTTCCTGCTGCTATGATAGGCGAGTGATTGAGTTCAGTCCCAGAGATCAGCACAATGCTCACTCTGTACGCAGAATGGTCTTGATGAACCCTCCCACCTTTTCTTCCTCCTCTTCACTCTGTACTTAGCCAAAAGGTTTGACTCATAATTGTCTTCTTTTATCTCAATGTGTTCTTTTTAAACTAAAGTAGCTGAAGAGCCACTGGAGCTTGCTATGTTTTTCTTTTCTTTGAGTCAGGGCAGGAATGTTTTGGTATCAGGCGTTTTCATCTTGAACAGAAAGTTTAAAGAACATCAAAAATTCCTGAGGTGCATTCCTTCTTTTCTCACACACCTCACTGTAATCTCCTCTTCCTTTTCATTTCAATCCTTCCAGCTGACAACGCTCCGGGGCTCCATACTTGAGGATGCGGTTCCTTCTACCTCCAAGCACGCCACAACGCGAGGCCTGCCAGTCAAAGACGTACTGGAGTACCTTCTACCAGAACTGGATCTGTCCTGTCTCAGATTGGCCCTCAACACCCCCAAAGTCACTGAGCAGCTAATGAAACTGGATGAACAAGGGGTAAAAAATAATAACACACCAGCTGTGAAACTGCACTAGAGACAGAAAGGAATTTTGCATCATCATCATCTCTGTTCTGAAGAGGTCTAATAAATAAATTATGTCCGATGTCCAGCTGAGTTTTCAGGTGAAGGTGGGTGTGATGTACTGCAGAGCAGGACAGAGCACAGAAGAGGAGATGTACAACAACGAGACAGCCGGTCCCGCCTTGGAGGAGTTCCTCCAGCTGCTGGGCGAGAAGGTCCGACTCAAGGGCTTCACCAAGTACAGAGCCCAGCTGGACACCAAAAGTACTGAGACCCAGACACGCACAGCTTCCACAGAGTTTAGTTTGACTCAGGACTGGACTTTATATATGCATCCCTTATATTACCTTTTAGTTTTCTAACATTTGTGGTGTTTGAGCACAAAAAATGCACATACTAAACTTCCTATAGAAATATTATATAATGTCTCACATGTTCCATATTTTTACATGAATTTCATCCTTGGCTTCAGCCCTAACAAAGTGTAATAAAAAATTGTGTGTTTCTGAGATTTAACCCCTTTATTGCCAGGTTTATGATAAATACCAGAATCGGGAAAACAAATGTAAAAAAAAAAAATGTTTAAATCAATAAATTTTTTTGTGTTTTACGTTCAGATGACCTTTTTGGGGTTAAACAGCCTTGGAGTGTCACAAATAGGCATAAAAATATTTTTTTGCCCACTTTAGTTTTTGTGTAATTTCATGTTTTCTAAAAAAGTCACAATTTTAACCTTGGTGCGCAAAAAAATGCAGACACAATTCTTCCTCATATAATATTTCATAATTCCTAATTTTATTACATGAATGTTGTACGTGGCTTCAGTCCTCACAAAATATAATAAAATATGTGTTCTTTCCTGAGATTTAACCTTTTTTTTTCCCTCTTTATCGTCAGGTGCATGATCATAACCAGAAATGTAAACAAATGAAAAACATTTTCAAAAACTGTGTGTGTTATGTCCAGATGATTAGTTTTATGGGTGAATTTTCAACACGTTGGAGCATCATAAATTGGCATAAAGATATTTTCATTTACAAGTATTTTTTTTTTTTTTGAATGCAGTGTTAGTTATTGCCCAGGTATAAATAGGGAAAATGTGCAATCTAGTGGAAAACATAAAAAACTCAAAATTGAGTCTGCTACTGCCCTGGGAACCCAGACAGAATAATAATAATAATAATAATAATAATGCATTGAACTTATATAGCGCTTTTCTAGACACCCAAAGACGCTTTTCACACACTCTCACATTCACACACTGCTGGTGATGGTAAGCTACTTGTAGCCACAGCCGCCCTGGGGAGGTCTGACAGAGGCGAGGCTGCCATTTGGCGCCGTCGGTCCCTCTGACCACCACTAACACAGGCAAGTTGAGTGAAGTGTCTTGCCCAAGGACACAACAGCAGGATACCCTTGGCGGGAGCTGGAATCGAACCCATAACCCTCCAATCATGAGGCAACCCGCTCTACCACCTGAGCTACTGCTGCCCCAATATATATATAATACATATATATGCTAATATTTAGGCTTATTAGAAAAAAAATTTACATGGGAGTTAGTGGCGCAAAACAATGCACTAAGGGCGGTGGCGCTACTAAATGATTTCCATGTTACATTACATTAAAAAAGGTTAGGGGAATTATTTTTATAATTTTTGGTATTCCCCACAAAATATATATTCTCCCCAAAAATAGATAAATTGCAGTAGCATAGCCAAAATTATTCACAAAAATACACCTGTCTGCGCAAAAAATGCACTTAGCATATAAGGGAAGAGAGAGACAGGGAGGAGTGAAGCTAAAAAATATTGAAATATAAGTGTTGGTGTATATCACCCAGCCCCGGATTTACTCGTACATCATCAAGATTTAAGTTGTAATGGATCCGTTAACATGAACGCCAGGAGGACGTTTTTTCTTGCAGAATGTTAAAAGATGTGAAGAGGAATAGATTTCTATGCCTATGAACCTTTTGAATGATTTCTTTGTACTTCTGTTGCGAGTTTGTCTTTAGATTTTGCTATAAAGGATAAAACCTCCAGGCTGACGTTGATCTAGTGTTCACTGTTGTGTGTTGGTTTAGATTGTAGTGAAAAAGCATCCCGTTGTGCACAAAAACACAAGAAAAACAGAAGTGACTTTATGAAGGCTCCTAATGTTGGATTGTGTTTTCCTGCAGCGGATTCCACTGGCACTCACTCGCTGTACACTTCCTACAAGGACTACGAGATCATGTTTCACGTGTCGACAATGCTGCCTTACACACCCAACAACAAACAGCAGGTAAACATGGAGAAAGTGGCTGGTGTTGTGCAAAGCCGGCCATCTGTCAGGAAATGGAAACCTCAGTTTGGAAACAGGCACTCCACTGAAAACCTCAGGAATGCAAGATGACTCCTGGCTCAGGAATCACTTTCCCATCCAGCTTTAATCATAAAGAATTTGTTTCTGACCTGAAGGCACCTGTATTTTCTGCAAATGCCTGTTCAGACCTCACGTTCAGTTTTAAAGTTAGTGCCTCTCTAAATAAACTCTGTTTTTCCAGTTGCTGAGGAAGCGCCACATTGGGAACGACATTGTGACCATTGTGTTCCAGGAACCGGGAGCGCACCCCTTCACGCCCAGGACCATTCGTTCTCACTTTCAGCATGTCTTCATTATTGTTCGGGTGCACAACCCCTGCTCTGACAGCACGTGCTACAGGTGGGTCTAAATGCCAAACAAGGAGATAAAAACTAATAATGACCTAATGAGCTCCAGGAGCAAGCATGCCTCAAATGTCAGTAAGTTCTGTGTTTTCCTACAAAATAGTTTGAAATATAGAGACAAAACAAAGCCTCATTCCAGTTTAACGATGTCAGACTGACCCTGTGCAAGACCGGGCCCAGTTCATGAGACCCTTAAATGCTGCACGCTGCTTCAAGAGCGGCTCTCGTTGTGTTTTTATGCAGGTAGCTGCAGTTGCATTAGAGCAAAAGCCTTGACTGGAAGGCATTGGTCAGACTTAAAAGCCTTTTGCATCAACGCTGCCCCATTTTCTTGGACCGTTTCAACTACATAGATGTGTATCTATATCTATATATATATATATATATATATATGTATATATATATTTGTGTATATACATTCGCTGGATTTTGAGCTGTCGAATTGATGTTTGTTCTCCTCTGCTGATTTCTTCTTGGCCTTGTGATGATCAGACTTTAACTCTGTGCTGGTGTGGCTTATTCTGAGCCATCCCACTGCACACACTCATGCACGTACAGTTATGAACACATAGTTGCTCTTTGTCACTCTCGTACTCCCATTTCACCTCATTCTCATGCTCACTTGCACACAGAGCTCACAGTTACACACTTTTCCCCCACATCGAACGCTAATTCACTTGAAGACTCACTCTTCACACACTCAAACAATACACCCGCCCTCCCCGACTGCCACTTTGCCTCTGGGCAGCATGAGTGGTCTGAAAGAGTTAGTGCCATGCACATGAAGCGCTCTCTTCACCCGCTCATGGATGTGAGTAAGGAGGATGTGCAGAGCAGCGCTCGCCAGACCTTACATAGTCCACGTCAGGTGCAGAAGAGTCGAGTTGGCTTCGGTCTCTCACACCACCTTCACTTTTGGGATTTCTTCTTTTGTCTGTTCTTTTGAAAATCTTGTTTTTTTCCTGATTTTATCCCATCATTCGTGGAGATTGTTGTTTCTTTTCACCCTAAGGGGTCATCGTTTGGTTTACATTCCAAAAAAGTGGAAGGTTTTGGATTTCTGGATGCACAAGAAGACTACCCCAGCTACTCCACCCAAAGTCACCGTTACATCCTCTTTCTTTGGCTTCTCCTCGTGCTCTTTGGGTTGGTAAACCATCTGTTTGAGACTGCGGGTTGGAGCTTTAGTTTGGCAGAAAAGAATAAATTAATTTTAACTCGCTGAACCGCTTTAGTGTCGGCTCAGCTTCTCATTTCACCGCTTTGGCTTGGCTGCACCAGAGATTAGAGTCAGTTTGTGGCTGAGATCTGAGGAACATGGTTGCTTTTCAGTGAAGTTGGAGGTAAGTTGTTGATTCTTGTTTTGATCTGAGCATGAATTTAATAAAACCATTCAGAGAATCTGATGCACTGTTGGCGCTCATCAGTGCTTCTAATTCAGCAAACTGGAACACAAATTTAGATAATAAAATGCATTAAGCTACAACAATAATCTCTGTTAATAATTTATTTAAATTTGTTGTTTTGACTGGTTATTAATAGCCCATTTGGGATAATGCTGTGGTGATATTGAGCCAGTCCAGAGCATTAGAGGAGTAAGTGGCCTGGGGCCAGCTGGGTGCTAATCTGCTGCTTTCAACCGCTGCCTCAAAGTCACACGAGGCCAGCGAGGCGGATTGCGTAACTAGATCATTGTTTGGGGAATGTAGGGTATTCGTGCTCGCTAACTCCAACCACAGTGCTCCTTCCTCATGCCGGGATGTGGCAGGGCGTAGCGGGATGGAAGCGCTGGGAGTCGGCGTGTCATCAGCAATTGAACACATGAAATTTGTTTACACGTCAGCACTATTCAGGCATGGCGTAGCAACATTAGTGCTGCAGGCAGCGCCTGTGTGATCAGTTTAATGGGCTGGATGGAGGCTTGTCAGGATTGTCGTATTGGCTTGTCAAAGGCAGCGCTTTGATTTTTCACTCATTTTTTGGCTTTTATCCATGTGCTTGTGTCTGATTTATAACCGTGTAGTTTTACTTGATGAAGTGCATCTGAGCCAAAAGCTTTAACGAGTGCAGTTAAATCCTCTTTTTGTTGATTTTGAGAGAATTCCTGTGTGAACAACAGGTTTGAGGGAGGGTTGCACACAACTGCTTGCTAATTTATGGTAATTTAACTCCATTGTGTGGAAATGGAATTGGAGCAGTGGAAGGTAACAAGAGGAGAGGTTTGCCTGTAGAAGTGTTGATGCCCTTCTTTGCACCAACACGTCCAACAGGCCAAAAGAGAAACACCGCTTTTGTAACACACTACTGGGATGTTTTCACCCAGTTTATGATCACATGCAGATGAAACAAATGTGTTTCTGTGGCTCGTTGTTTTATATTTAAGTTCTTCGATCCTCTACGTCTACAGCGTGGCTGTGACTCGCTCCCAGGACGTTCCCTCCTTCGGACCACCAATCCCCAACGGCGTGACCTTCCCCAAGTCTTCTGTCTTCCGGGACTTCCTGTTGGCCAAAGTCATCAACGCCGAAAACGCGGCCCACAAGTCTGAGAAGTTTGGTGCCATGGCGACACGCACACGGCAGGAGTACCTGCGGGACTTAGCCGAGCGCCACGTGACCAGTACGCCTGTGGAGTCCACGGGGAAGTTCCCCTTCATCTCTCTGGCTCACAAGCGGCGGGAGAAGGTGCGTCCCTACAGTGGGGCGGAGCTACGGAGTCTGGGAGCCATAACCTGGCAGGTCCACGCTGAAGATCAGGTCGCAGGAGCTGAACGAGAATGCCTGTTGGCCATTTCAAACGACTTCATCATCCTGTTGGATCAAGAGGCCAAAGCAGTCGTGTTTAACTGTGCCACACGGGATGTGATTGGCTGGTCAACGGGAAGCCCTGCCTCCATGAAGCTCTACTATGAGCGCGGTGAGAGCGTGTCACTTCGATCCATCAATAACAACACGGAAGACTTTGGAGAAGTTGTGAAAAGACTGGAGGTAAGTACATCTTAGGGATTAATAAGATGTTTTTCTGCTTCATACGTAACCTTTGACCTCCTCGCGCGTGTCACGTAGCTGCTGACCAAAGGCAGCCAAACCACAGAGATGACACTACGCCGTAACGCTTTGGGCCAGCTGGGTTTTCACGTGAACTTTGAGGGGATTGTGGCCGAAGTGGAGCCCTACGGTTACGCCTGGCAGGCCGGGCTGAGGCAAGGCAGCCGATTGGTGGAGATCTGCAAAGTGACCGTGGCCTCACTGTCTCACGAGCAGATGATCGACCTGCTCAGAACCTCGGTCACTGTTAAGGTGGTCATCATTCCTCCACATGAAGACTCCACCCCACGCAGGTAAAAGTGGCGTTATTGACAAATTCAAAGTGAGAGGGTTTGTGGAAACCTTTAACAGGAAATGCTTCTTGTGCCAACAGAGGCTGCTCAGAAATCTATCACATGCCACTTGTGGATTACAAGAACCACAAAGAGGGCATGCCCTATGAATTAAAGTTCCCCTTTCGCCCAACAAACAATAACAGCAAGTGGCCGCGCTCATCATCCAGCCCTCAGACTCGCGCCGCCGGCTCAGGGGGAACCCTGATCAAAGCACTACCCTCAGACTTCAGCGCCGCAATTCCACGCAGCGTGTCAAGCGACGGTCGGCCTCTCCACCCGAAAAGGTCACACAAAGGATAAAATGCTTCCAGCACACAATTTCCACATGTCCTAAATGCTGTCCATATGTGTTCTCACAGGTATTCCCCAGGAAACGACAACTATGCTGTGGCCTGCTCCATCATGATGGGGCGCACGCCGCACAACACTAACTCACCCTCAGGCCCCTCCTACAGCGACACAATGAGCTCCAGCCACTGGAGGCAGAGGTCTGGGCCTGATGGGTGAGTTTTCCCTCCACTCCTTTAGGCCACTGACTAAATTAGACATTTTTTCCTGTCGCTTTGTGATGCGTCACGTGTTCCTGTGCAGGTTTAACAACAACGGCCCTTCGCCTGCTGCGTCCGTCCGGCAGGCAGCCGGTGAGGTGGTCAATGGGGTGAAGGTGAGCTCTGCTTCTGGTGTTGGATGGTCCAGAGCTGGGGAGGGTGAATCTGCTGGCAGACTTGGAGACAAACTCGGCTCAGGTTAGCAGAACGCTCTAAACGGAATGAAATAAAGTCTTTGTTTTGTTCCTGTTTCTAACTTTCTTTGTATTTACTTTTGTTTTTTTAGATGTTATCGTTTCCAAAGTGGTGGTTCCTCGTCTCCATCCATCAGAGCAGAGTCACCTGTCACCTAGCAAGAACACTAAGGTGAGTTTCAAAAACCTCACACACACACACTCACACACACACACACACACACACACACACACACACACACACACACACACACACACATGTATATTGCTGATGTTAAAGGTCTAACGTCTCATTCATGTTAAATGGTAAATGGCCTGTATTTGATATAGTGCCTTCTAGAGTCCTGGAACCCCCCAAGGCACTTTACAACACAATCAGTCACTCACCCATTCACTCACCCATTCACACACATGTTGGAAGGAAGGTTACATTGAAACAAATTTCCTTCTCATCCAGCTGGGGGGGGTTGCCCGTGTTTCTCCTTATAAAATAACTGAAGGGGGACGTAGTTTTTCTTTACGATCTGTCCTGTCTCCATATTTCCTGGTTCCACGACCAATCAGATGTGAGCCTGCAAGTTATCAATTCTTCAACGCAAGTGCTATTGTGCCCACATCTGTAGTCCTACAGCGACCCAGAAGCAAAAGAAATAAGTGCAAGAGAGTAAAATCATTTTTGTTTCACTAATATCTGGTAAAGAAGGCTAGAGGCTAACGTTAAGCTAACAATGTTAATGGTGAATTAGAAACAAATATAAATATTTGGAGCTACTTTTCTGATGACCAAAACCTCAATGTTACAGTGAAATATGTTTATCTATCTGTTTACTGTGTGTGAGTCATCTTCGCTTGAAATCTAGAATCGTCAGGCGCTGATCCGTAAAGCTTTGTTTTGATTACATGGACTGCTCTTACCTAATGCACCTTTAATTATTTGATTCATTTTGTTTAATTAAAAGGTGGATGGTCCATATTCATCCGGCCAATCAAGCAGCAACACACTGTCCAGCAACGCCTCCAGCTCCACCCACAGCGATGAGAAGTGGTACGAAGTGGGCTCCCGATCCGGAGCGCGGAACGACCTGGAGCTAAATGGCTACCTCCAGGGCGCCTCCACCGACAGCGGCATTGACGCCACCTCTTTCACCGCCACCCAGAGCAGCACCGCTTCCTCTACGGGTGCCTTCAGGTCCAAAGAAAAAATCCCGTGGCAGGAGGATTCAGCAGGCAGTCAGAGGGCCACGAACGCATCGCCTCCGACGTCAGATTCTCTCGTCGCTGCTGGAGGTGGTGAGATCACGACGAAGAGGCCGTCAACCTTTGCATCAGCTCCTGAGAGTGATGCTGCCTCCCACTCCAGGTGTGTTGACTAGCGCTTCAAACAGACCCTGGTTCTGCTATCTGATGTGTTCTCTGTTGTTTCCTTTTAACGAGGAGAGACAGGAAGAGAAAAATCTCTGTAGCATCGGCGCTCGCCTTCATCTTTGTGGCATCTGTGATTTAAAGGAAGGGCTTCAAAAAAATGCAGACTGAGCTCTGGCTTCTCCCCCTTCCTCTAAATCCTCCTTTTAAATCAAGTCAAGCTTCTTCTTCTCTTCGCTCAGACAGAAATAACTCACCTGGCTCTGGCTGCTTTGTTTTATATATAGTCCGTGCACATTAGTGCAGGCCTGAGCTGATCATTAATGCAGAAAAATGAGGCTTTTATGTCACAGCATGTGGCAATGATGGTGGAAATGATTGAAAATGACACGCAAGGACAATGCCCTGTTTTCTGTTTTGGATTTCATCCGTTCATCCTGTGTTTAGCTGATGAAATTATCTTCATGTTTAAAGTGAAGCCCATCACTGCAGAAAAACACTGAAGGATTATCAACCAGAAAGGGGTTGGGAAAAAAAAGCCAGAATAAGATTAAACGAAGCTCTGCCTTTGTTTCATGCCCCGTTTTCACCACAATCAGCTCTGGTCACTCTGGGAGTCCGATGGGGCAGAGCTGCAGCGCCACGTCGCCTCAGAACGAGGAAACCGACCCGGACATCTCACCTACATCCCAGACCCCCCAGTCTCCCGGGTCCAAGAGCTTCTATCCTCGCCATGGTGCCACCTCCAAGTACCTGATAGGCTGGAAGAAGCCCGGGGGAACCGTGAACTCTGTGGACTTTGGTAACACTCGCAAGTAAGATCTGATCACAGGCCTCTGAGATGGTTTCAGATGTGTTTTTTTTTTACAAATATTGTAGACAGCGCCCCCATGTGGCCTGGAATTGTTCATTCTGCATAAAGAAATGAACTTTGTTTCTAATAGACAAGGGTTTGTGGGTTGCTTAGACCATTTCTACTGCTTTTCCTGATAAAAGGAGCTTCTGATTTATTTAGTTAATCTTGTCCTCAGACGACACCCGAGCGATGGTCTGCTGGGGGGGCAGCCACAGCTCAGGGCGAATCTCCGCGGCTCCCAGTCGCCCCATCGCCAGACCGCCAAATCCAGCCTGGAAGAAGACTTGAAGAAGCTCATCATGCTCGACAGCCCACCGCCAACAACAAACGATGAGAAGGTACGACACTAGACTGCTTTCCTGCACCTGTGTGGGTGGAAAACGGCATGCTGGTGTCTCAGTAGTGAAGAGCCCAGAGTAAACAGGAAAGGTTTAATTGCAATAATAAAATAACTGAATGCAAATCTAAGGCAAATTTGTGATCGGTGATAATAGTTTATTATTAAAAGATAAGTATTTATGTTATCTACAAGTGAGTGTTAAAAAGCACAGATGTTAAAATCTGTTTTTCTAAAGAATTAAAGCCACGTTGTCGCCTCTCACTGGCGTCTGCCTGTCTCCATCCCTCTCTGAAGCCTTCGTTCCCAGCCCCACCGCCCAGCCGCCGCTCCCTACAGAGAACGCTGTCAGATGAGAGCATCTACAGTGGGCAGAGGGAGTCGAACTCCAGCGGACAGTGTGACATGCCTACCGACCTTCTGTTCACCTGCTCCACCATACCGCGCTCACCCATCACCCGACACGCACCGAGTCGGCGAGCCTCACACAAATCTCTCGGTGGGTTTCAGCATTTAGCTCGACGAACTGTTTAGGTTTCGAATATGTGGAAGATTCACTCTGTTGTGTCATCAGGGGACCTGTCGGCTCTGGAGAGCTCAGATTTGGAACAGCAGAGGAGGAGGAAGCAGCTGCAGCAGGAGGACCCTGTTCTCATGCCCCTGCCTGACCCTGGCTCTGATGGCCCACTTGACTGGGCCCACTTGGTGGATGCTGCTAAGGCATTTGAAGGTAGTTCCACCTCTTTTGTTTTTCTCAGTCATAGCAAACTCAGCTGGTATCTCTTATCACCAGAAGGGGGCGGTGTTGTTTTCAGGTCTAACGACAGGTTTTGTGTTTTAGAGCAGAGACTGGATTTTCTAACAGCCCAGGAGGAAAGCGACGCAGCAGAGAGCACATCAGCCGCCAGCCGCCAGCAGGCCGAGCCTCAGGCAGCTCCACAGAGACAGCCCTCGCCTGGGTAAGAGGTCACAGGTCAAGGCCGTGAACAGATGTTTGCTTTGTTACACTTAATTCCTGCACTCCTTTGGGGAAGACCCCTCGTTTCAGCCACATACCGGCCAGTTTTCCTCTCTGCACGTTTACAGTTCTGGGTTATTAATTAGTCTGTGTTTTAAACAGAGATACTCCAGCGTGTTTGATGGGTAAGGTGAGTCAGCTGGAGTCCATGGTGAAGGCTCTGCAGGAAGACCTGAAGAAGGTGGGTATTTGTTGGTGTTTCTGAAACGGCTCAGCTCTTTGAGCGAATTCTCACCCGTGTCCCTCCTCTCCACCAGGAGAAGGATGCCAAAGCGTCGTTACAAGCGCAGGTTGAAACCCTGCGAGAGGACAACCAGCGCCTCCTGGAGGAGTCCTACAGCGCCTCAGCCAAACTCAAGAAGTTCACAGAGTGGGTCTTCAACACCATCGACATGAACTGATGCACACAGATGCTCTCCACTGGGGGATTCAACCACTAATCAAGCTCATTTCTAAATTTGTACATTTTCTTTAGCTTTATGTAAAATACTCAACTCAAAAAGGAAAACAGGCTCAGGAAAAAGTAAAATCAAGTAAAAAAAAACACAAGCAGGAAAGAAGAGAGACCAGTGTGTCCGTTTTTATCAGCATGCGCTCCATTCTTTAGGAGTACATAAATTATGTAAGACTTTGTTTCCCGTGTAACAGCCTGTTGGTACCCTAACCCACGCACGTCCGAGAGCAAGTCGCCGTGTAGCTCTTCGCTAATCTGATTAAGAATAAACTCATGGAGCTCAAATATTTAAAAATCTTTGACCCGATGCAAGACGCTGTGAGTAAAATCCCATGTAGCTCTAATAAAGGCTTCATAGAAGTTGATGCTTAGATCTTCTGTAAATTTACTCTTATTTTTTATACAAATAACCAAAAAGGTCATTTTTATCAGGCTGAGACAGACTGAGCCTTTGCCTTTGCACAGTAAAGGACCCCAAAACAGAAACATAACTATATATATATATAAATATATATATATTGTGTAAAACACAACAGGTGCCATACAGAAATACATAATCCAGATTATTGTAAATATATGATGTTAAAATGTATTTTCCTCATGCCCTACTGTGATATAAGATAAAGAGTATTTATGACAACGATGATGGCCAAGAAAAAGGAGCCATATGCAGTCAGTGGACATTTCCTTTTAATGTTTCTGTCTTTCTCTAAATTTATTGACATTTAATCTAAAATACTAAACACTGTCATGTTTGTTTTTTGTCGCCTGGCCTGCTGCTGTGGATCCATCGACGGTGACACCTTGTGTTGACAACGTGTAACATACTGCTTGGTCCTGATCCTTTCTCCATCCTCACACAGCATGTGAAACGGCTTCGTTCTGATTGATCCGTTGTGCTCGGAGTGAATTAAAGCGGTACTGTTCTGCATAGAACTACGTAGTGAGATGCTGTGCTGATCCAGATTTTCTGAACGGACCTGCCTGAGAACCACGGCGTGAACTCGGGTCTGTTTGGGACCGAACGGAGTCCTCATACTGTAACTGCTTCCTTTTGTACTCAGACACTGTGCAACTGTATATAAACAGAATTTAATATTCATCAGAAACTTGCACCTTCTGTCCTTTTTTTCTACATTTATTCTGCTTTACTTGGTAGCAACGAGCGGAAGAAGTGTTATGCAAGATGAAACGGGGGAGGGGCGAGTGGGTTTAAGACTACGAGCTGGATTCAGAAGAGTCTCAGGTCCCAAACATAGCAGATCACCCCTTTGCCTTCATTCTTAACATGTGTGACGGCATGTTTCCATTCAGCTGTGACGTGTAAAAACTGTTTATATCTATTAAAGTTATTTTGTTGAATTACACCTCACTTGGATGACTGTTTTTTTATGTTTGTGGCAGATGTGTTCAGATTTAGTCGCACAACAAAAAGCATCTTTTGTGATTTAAAAAGGAGAGAAATGGGTGACTAATACCAGAGCGTGGCCTAATAAATATGGCATTACTAGTAATTGGATACCTGTCAGGAGGTGCTGCCTGCTGTTGTATTGTGATTAACAGGAAGCTGCTGTTTTTCCACTCAGGATTGATTGCACGCGACCTCTGACGGAGGCGATCAAGTCTGGGTTGTGCAGATTGATGGACAAGAACACCCTGAGAAGGATGCAGCACAAAGACACGGTTTATTACGGAGCCAAGAATTGAGTGCTGATGTCTAACAGGATTATGGCCGTTTGATTAAGAATTCATGTGTCAACAGTTACGGTGAAAAGTAAAAAACTCCATCATTGATTATGAACACCAGACATGACGGCAATAAACTCTGCAGCCAAAAATGCAAACACCAGGAAGTTGGTTCAGCTGCAAGATTTAATCATCTCACACGCCACCAAAATCGATTATTTCACTAAAATAATTTAGTCTGCAATACATTGTTCAAAATGTACCCGTTTGGGAGCTTTGCTGATGCAAGAATGCACATTTATCTGAAATGTTGCTTCATCGGTACTATACTAGAGGAGGTAGAGCTTTTTCTGTTGCGGCCCCTAAGCTGTGGAATGATCTACTCGTGGTCAGAAAATCACCTTCACTGTCGGTTTTTAAGAGCCAGTTGAAGACTTACTTTTATTCAGTGGCGTTCCCACAGCACGTGAGTTAGTTTTAGCTTTTTGATATTTCTAATTAATTTCTCAAGTGATTATCCGGTTATATTTGTACTTTATCTTATCAACACCTTTTTATCTCTCATTTTATTTATGGCTATGTATGTTTTTATGGCTGGTCATTCCTTGGGTCTGTACTGTTTTTGATGTCTGTTTGTGTGTACAGCACTGCAGCGAAAGGAAAGTGCTTCATAAATGAAGGCTGGTGATGATTATGATGATGATGATGATGATGATGAACCATCAGAACAAGCAGCTGGGGGGTTTGGAAATCCACCTAACAGATTTCTGTGTATGAATGAAGCCGACCTCACTTCCAGCTTTCTTCGTGGTCAGAGGTGTTCCTCAGGGATCTGTTCTGGCACCACTATTTTTATTTCACACATCAGCAACCTTCATCGACCTGGATGTGTTTTACGTTTTTAAATATTCAAATGTTCTGCTCTAAAACCACCTGAATCTGAAGCAACAGAAGAAATTAAAACACATCTTTTAATTTTTTACAAATAAAAATCTTACAATTGGACATTTTCAAGTTCAAATTTAATTATAATCTTAACATTGATATTATTTTCTACACATTTTTGTCATTATTTTCCTCCCCCACCCCCCAAATCTGAAATATTTACCAAAATATTCTCACTTACTTATCGATTAATGTGTTATATGTTGTCGATGGCCCCTTGGTGTTGCAATGAACATGTTAGCATTAATGCAGATTATAACAAGGCTGTCCCCGTTAAAGCAGATTAGTGTAGTACCTGTCTGTCTGCCTGTCTGAAGGTATGCTGATCAGTGTGAGGTGTGTGTGTGTGTGTGTGTGTGTGTTTAGATGGGAAAGTCATTCAGGTTTATTTGTTCTGCATTCAGTGAGTCAGATATTGCAGAAATATGTGACGGTATATTTAATACCCTACTTTTCCCTGCCTTCAGGAAAATGTGAGGTAGGCACAAATTCTGAAGGCCAACAAATGCTTTCACACACGTCTCAGTGTGTGTGTGTGTGTGTGTGTGTGTGTGACCTCAGTTTCCCTTGGTTACCAAATTTACAGAGATCTGCGATTTTGTTCTTTTTTTCCCCTCCGAAGAATCACATGTTACAAAACAGTACTTTTATTAATGCAAAGTGGATTATTTCAAGTCAGACTTGATTAGAGAAACGTTCAAGGTCTTTTCTTTGTTTGAGCCTCACATGCGCAGTGTCAAATATTATCAAGAGCAACAAGAGAGAGAGAGATTCACGGAGCCACAGCTTCTGCTTGAATAAAAGAAAGAAAAACAGACAAACAGTGGCGAGAAGCTGCCTGCACAGTCCTCTGATAACTGGTGAGAAGGTTCCATCAGGATGCATGCATGCCTCCACTAACTGAACACACTGCAGTCCAGAAAAGGAAGGGTCTTTGCCATTTAGGCTTGAATGATTCAAAAGTTTCTATGAAAAGACAAAGAGCTTGAAAACAGCTCAGTGGTTAAATAAAAAATGTAAATTCTTAGATAGGAATATTAAACTTGTATCACCTAAGAAGATTGGAAACATATTTTTGCAGCTTTTATTCATTTTTCTTTTAATGCAAGCTTAAAGAAATGTTTCCTATTTTCAGCATCAGTGAGTGCTGCTGCAGTATGCATCTCTCTATCCTCTTTTTCTCTCTTCTTTACCTCCACTGCTCTCTGATTTCTCCTCCCTCTTTACATTCTCTCTAATTCCTTCATCCCTCCCCCTGTTTTGTGCATGATCTGCACCTCCCTGTTGCACAGCATCCCTCTCTCTCACTCTTTCTCCCTCTCTCTCTGTCACACACACACACATACACACTCCTCTTTAGCCGCTGCTTGGTCTCCAGCACATGCAGACACAGAGAGGGAAGGGATGAACGAGGTGTTCGCATGTGAGGATCTCCTCCGCTGCCGGGGCAAGGCAGGACTGGCGAATAGAGAAGAGGAGGAGGAGGTCTAGAGGAATACTGCAGTGACCAGCAGCTTCTTTTCCCTCCGTTGAGTTTTATCTCTCACTGCTTCGCCGCTTTCATCCACTCTGCCCCTCTGACAGCCACAACGTGAAGATGCCTGCTGCTTGTTGCTAAGAGGGGGAGCCAGCCAGTGGGAGCAGAGGGAAACAGGCGATACATTTTTTGTGTTTGAAGGTAACAAAAGCTTTAATTACAAGATGTCAGACTGCATGAGTGTGATCTGGGCTTTAGGAAGCAGTATGGCTCAGAGTGGACCTGGAGCGCTGTATGCATGGGATGTGCATGACGTGTGTGAACTCTTTGCCAGTGTATTTGTTTCAATGAACTGGGCATGTGTGGGATCATTTTTGGAGTCTCTGCAGGGATTCTGCCTTCTGTTGTGTTTGGGTGTGAGGTTCTGTGTGCTGCACATAAACACAGACCCAAAATCTACAACCTCCCTGAACCACACCGCTGTAAACTACATGGCCTGTCCAAACTTTCAAATCCAGGTGTGGAGTTGAGCAGCTAGTTTGAGAGAAAGAGCTGTTCTCTAAAATGACAGCTTCCTGTCCACAGGGAAACAGTTTGCACACTTTTGTTTTCTTCCAGCAGGTGCTGTGCAATCCATACCACCTGGCTTTCTGCTCGACCCCTGAGGTGGGTGCAAAGATTATCTGTCTAATGTGCTCAGACTCTAAAAGGAGCTGTAAACCAATGGGGAGTGCTGTTCTCCACTTCTGTTGGCAATAACAAACAGTGAGGGGAGATTGGATGATTACTTATTCACTCATGCACATTACCCTTCTCTAAATCATTTAGGAGTTTGGCTGTGATTAAAGCCACCTCACACATGTCTGCTGATGCTAACTGGTGACTTTCAGTTGTTTTACCTCCATCTTTCTGTTCATCTGAACACTTTTGGTGCTATGGTTACCTAAATCCTTTTCTAGTGGCGTGCTCTTGGGCAAGAAACCGTGTCACTAACTCAGATGCTCATCACGACTTTCATTGTCACCTCAGTGACTCATCACAGCTTTACTTCAAGTGACCTCTACAATGAGGGTAGAATCGTTTGGATTTTACACCCTTTGCATTTCTAAATTATAACAAAAAATGTATGAATTTAGGTGAGTCATTAACCTAACCTCATTTGATCTGTTTTTCCTCCAAGATTAACACACATTAGGCTCCAGTGGCAAAGAGTACAGCTAGGAGGGAAGAGGGGAAGTCCAGTCTGTTATGGAAATCCCAAGTTAAGCAGAATTATTTTTCCTGAAAGTGTAGAAAGTGGCGGAAAGCTCATGGAAGCTGTAAATAAATCCCTTAACAGCGGCTCTCAAAGCATTGACAGATGCAGGTTAAAGTGGGAAGTGCATGGAGGTCAAAGGGCACGTCATAAGATTACATCATAAGATTATTGTTAATGGAGCAGCGATAAGGCTGGTGCCTATATCCAGCAGTCAATGGGCAATCAGGCAGGGTAGACCCTGGACAAAGTGCCAGTCCATCGCAGGGCAACACAAAGACACACACAGGACAAACAATCATGAACACACACACACACCTAAGGACAATTTAGACAGACCAATCAACCTAACAGTCATGTTTGTGGACTGTGGGAGGAAGCCGGAGTACCCGGAGAGAACCCACGCATGCACAGGGAGAACATGCAAACTCCATGCAGAAAGATCCCAGGCCAGGAAGCGAACCCAGGACCTTCTTGCTACAAGGCAACAGCTCTAACCACTGCGCCACTGCGCAGCCCAGACTGGAATTACTTGGATGAAAACCTCAAGAGACCTTCAGAAAGCCTTTAGAAACTTTAAACAAGACCATTTTGTAAGAAAACAAGAAATCGAGTTGACTTGACAACGAAATGCAGACATGGATAAATTACTGGCGCCCCTCCACAAAACCCACCATCATCACTGTAAGCAATAATGGCTCAAAGTTGACTAAAAAAACAACAAATTTTGAAGATCAAATGTTTTTAAATTGTGGTTTAAACACAATTGCACACTAATAAGATAAAAATGAGAATAAAATCAAAACCATTTGCTCATTACAAATGTCTTCATAGTCAGTCTGTTTAGAGGCTGAAAGGGTAGTCACAGTGCTGTTTGGTATCAGGGTGTGTACCACACCAAAAATGCACTCACAGAAAGCCACAGAGGGAATAAAAAAACTATTTTTGACCAGCATTCTCAAGGTAATGACTAGAACAACATCTCAGTGTGGCCTAATGTTACCGTGACGACAGCCACACAGGTCTATCAGAATTTGAACAGACTCCATGGATTAGGAAGAATAAAATATATATATATACATATATATATATATATATATATATGTATAGAGAGAGAGAGAGAGAGAGAGAGAGAGAGAGAGAGAGAGAGTGAGAGAGAGTGTGTGTTCACATTCTAATAATATAATTTAACAATATAACATGAAGACGTGATACATTTCTATATTGTAAGAATGTGAAAATGATGTTAGAACAATAAAGTTAAGATGTTAAAAAGTGGCATCGCTTTATTAGCGTTGGTGACAGCGTTACGCTTCTTTATGTTCATGTTTCCCTCTGCAGGCCTTAATGAAGATGGCAGAAGGGTCCAAAGATCGAGGAGGTCCTGGTCCTGCTGAGCCCGAAGAGGACTCCCCCAATATGATTGTCTACCGAAAGGCAAGGTTCACTATCAATGTGAAAGTTTTCAGGTTTGTGTATGTCAGGAGAAAGCTGTTTCCTGGCTCCTGACAGTGCAGTGGTCTGTATCGGAGTACATCTAATTCACTCTGGCTTCACTGGCAGGTGTCAGGAGAGCTCTCCGTTCAACCATCCTGAAAGAAGCACCTCTCTTCCTCTTTCCCTTCCTTCGAGGCATTTTCCCTCACTCTGTGTTCATTTCCAGGCTGGCCTTCAATGCTTTAATAATCTTTCAATCCCTTCAGTAGACGGTTTGGGCAGTGAGAGGTCCTTTCATTGTCAAGGGTAATTACCTCATCCCTATGGTACCTCACTTTCAATCACTGCTGTTTGATTGGAGGGGGTCAGTGGTATTGGAAGCTAATTAGATGAATATTTGTCTGGGGAGAGAAAGCTTAAATCTCCAGGGCTGGGATCTCTAACAGCCAATGAGGGAATGGTATTTTTCCCGACTTGATGACTAGGTTGGTAACTCGCTTTCCTCTGTGACAAGAGGCCCGTGAAAAAGCTTTATTTGATCAGACTATGAACATTGTCCGCTACTACGGAGCCTGCTGTCTTAATCACAGAGCAGAGTACAGATTCTGACCCACTGTCCCAAATCTGCTGTTTCATTCTGCTCCTGGTGGTTGTTCATTCATTCAGTGGAGTAAACAGATTAGTGGAAGAATGGCTGAGACGGGGTGTGAAATAGTTGTTGACAGCTGCTGTCGTTGGGCTTGTCAGACTATTAGAACTTGGTGACGGCTGGAGGAATGTCTGAATCCACCTCACCTGGAACAACTGCCACAAACCTTTGGTTTACATAGAATCTGAATAAATCTGAGTCTTGCAGTATTAATGACAATGTCTTTAGGTTAGCGGGATGTTAAGGAATATAGTCTTCTACCCACATTTCCTGCGTTAGCCGCCAGTAGAAACTCGGAATAGAAAAGTCAGCCGATCAATGTCACGTTCATGGACTTACCCATTGTGGCTCGTGAGGAGAAAGGTTGTTGTTGTTGTTTTAGCGTCTAGGAGAGAGCAGAGCACATCTTAGCTAGCAGAAGCTAACCATTAGCATTAGCAACCTCACAACACAGCAGAACACCTTCAGGCTTGTGTTTTTGTGGCGATAAAACATCAACTTTGCAGAGCGAACGTAGGCAGTGGAAGAGTCACGTTGCTGTTAGCCAATCAGAGGTGTGATGTCTGAGTATCAGGAAATAAGAGAAAATATGAAGTCTGCTGCTCCCCTCTTATCTGGCTTATTTCTAGTTCCTGAAAAAGGAGCGCCAGAGCTTTTGTCCCGCAGGGCTCGACTCACAAGGCCTTAATTTATAATAGAGACCACAGCAAATGTGTTGAGACAAGCAAGTGAACTTGGTCTTTAAATATCAATTGGCCAGCCCACACTGATTGATAAAGCTAACGACTGTTTTGAGACCCTCAAATCGAAGTTTGCTTTACATACACATTGATGATCCAACAAAACACACACCAAGAAGTCTCGAGGTTCTTTTAAATGCTCTGCAACAATAACATCACAACAAAAACCCCATTATCTCCACCAACCTGTGCAGAAGAACAGCGGTTTATCATTGTGTCAAGAAAAGGTCACTAGACTGCTCAGTGTGCTTCTGCACACTCAGTTCAATAGGGTTGCATTTTGGCTGTTGCACAGCATGACTAATACCAGCATGGGCTCTAGAAAAGAGCCAGGGAAAGCAAAGATGAGACTTTTTATCTCACTTCTCGGATTGAGAGGAAACAAGCTGTCAGCTGAGGAAATCTCTGTCTGATGCTGACAGTACAGTTCAGCATAGAAATGTGAAAGGTAAAATAAGGGTTTTGCCCGAGTCGCTGTGTACTTTATTTTCCCATAATCTTGGCAAAATCTATCTTAAACAAATGCACATATTTTAAGCAGCTATCTCAAAGTCTTCATTGGATGTACATCTACAACCGATTAGGTTTTGGGAAGGTATCATTTCAAGATGGCGACTCCGGCTAATTAATACTACACAAAAATGGTTTTTAACTCAGGCTGTGTCCAAATTCGGGAGCTGCATCCTTTGACTCCATTTGAAGGCCGGTTATGTCACAGCATGGTGACACAGTCTGTCCGAAGGCTTCTCCAAATGTGAGCCAAAAATGCACCCTTCTTTTCTCTGATCTGATGGTCGGGTCTGGTGTTTCCTTCGTGACCCACCCTCATCTATTCTTGTGTTGTAAAAATGGCAGGAAAGTTAGAGGATTACAGCTTTCATTGTAAATAGATTATAATCTAGCAGTATCTTTATAGCAGCTGTGTTGTTTAGGCTGTCTTCCTTTTGTTGTTTTTTAAAATATAATATTTGTCAATATTTGACTTTATGGTGGTAAAGATAATGCAGTTCGTGGAGGGAGGGCTCCGTTTTCACTAGCTTCTCTTTGGCACCATCACAGTTGCCAGGTGACAGGACACAAGCCAAGGTAAGGGCAGGAATGAATCTGAAGGTCCAGACCTCGTAAACCAGATAGGCCGGGTACCTGGGAGAACGCAGCCCCTGCATTTGGACACAGCCTCAGTTCATTTTACCAAAACGTGTTGCAACAGCAGCTCAGGCTCATCCTCGAGGCTAGCGCCCTGCTTAAAAAAATGACTATTTCAGAAAGGAATCGTCATTTGTAGCTAAATGACTACATAACGGCCACAGCTAACTGGCTTTAGCTAACACAAAACTGGCAGTAATGCTAACTGGCTTTAGCTAACACAAAACTGGCTGTAATGCTAACTGGCTTTAGCTAACACAAAACTGGCTGTAATGCTAACTGGCTTTAGCTAACACAAAACTGGCTGTAATACTATCAGATTTGCAGATATTCACCTAGAATTTTATTAATTATGACAATACATTATTTTCAAGATCTGAACAACTCCCTCATTTCTCAGTGAAGGATTCTCTGACTGAAATTGGGATTAAATGTATGGCTAGGCCTTGATGACTCTTATTCAGGGGCAGAACCCCATTTTTCTGGAGGATAATCTCTTATTTGGTGTTTTTATCACATTTTATTTTGGAAGCCAAGATCTCCCAAAGTGGGTGCTTCACTAGATTAAAATCCTTTGACTGGAAGTTGTGGCTCATGAGTCACTTGGCTTTCATTCAGAAAAACATCCACTGACCTTTGTCAAGCAGAAATTTTCTCACAGTTAAAGTCAAGCACTTCTGTTTCCCCTGATTTGCCACCTTTCAGTAGACGTCTAAACATTTATGTGTGACAGATTCACTGCAGCAGCTTTAGCATTCATGCACAATTGTACATCCATGCATTCTAACATACAGGAAGGAGCCCATTGTGGTTTCATGTAACACTGGCTCTTTCTTCATGTACATAATTCACAGTGCAGCTTTATTACGTAACGCTGCACAAGCCTGGAGGCGACACATTGAAGAGGGTAGATTTTGCTTGTCAGGAAGCTGCTTGGGGGAATATTTGTCATTTCATGTTTTAATCATACGCAGTGACAACAGACAGATTATTCTGAGGGTGACTGGACTGTCTGTCCTTCCTGCTTTGTAAATGTGACTTTTGATTTGACGCTTAAAATCTGCGATGCAGTTTAAACCAAATGTGATTTCAGCACACTCCTACTGGGCTAAATGTTGCTTTAAACTTGATTTTTCTTGCATTGTTTTACTTTTTTGTCCTCGGTTCTTGTAGAATATCAAAAAGGGCCGAACAGAGGAGGTGGCGGGTTCGCAGGTGCCCCCAGCCTCTGGACCCAGCGGGTGGGCAGTAAAGACTGAACTCTCTTCACAGAAAAGCAGATGGCCTCCAATATGCCCAACCGCCTGGGAAAACCCCGGCAGCCTCATCCCAAAAGGCTTGAGCCTCTCTCAACTGGAAAACGCTTCCGTCTTATCCTCAAAGATTTAAAGCTGATAACAGTGAGGGTTTATTTCAGAATCAGAATCAGAATAAGCTTTATTGCCAGCGCTCCAGCGACCCAGAGCATAGGAACTTGACTCCGCAAACACAACCTGACCAAGGTTAAACACACACACATGTAGACAAAACAGGAACAGGCAGTCCGCGAAAGCAGCCAGAACGGCGCTCATTTCATTAGATGAAAAGGGTGTTACATGAGGATAATTGGGGTAAGGTAAAAAAGGCATAGCAGAGTGCCTGATTTATGCTTCTCCGTCTGCGTCAGTGCGGAGACACGCAACGCCATTATCCGTCCTTGCGTAGGGCACGCAAGTACGTACGGAGTCGAGCCCACTTTTTTAAACATCCGTCGAATGAGACGGATTACGCAAGCTTGTGATTGGTCAGGACGTTGCTGTTGTTTACAGCGCCGCCATTGCAAAGAGAGCCGAGGATAACTAGCGGCAGACACGGAGAAGCTTGAAGAATCCCTCGCGAAAAAACTCTAAAAATATGAACGTTTCATTCTCCCGTGACTGGAGGAGTGAAAAGATATTCAGCAAGTGTTTTATTTGTGGACGGAAATGACAGGAAACGTGGGTTTAGAGGTGGGGAGCGCATGAAGCGGTGGGAGAATGAGAGGCAAATTTGTCCGTGTTAAAAGTCGCTTATATACACAAAAAACACAATATAAACACACTATCTTGGACCGATACATGACAGGATACCACAGAACAGCGCTACACCCTCTGTTGTCCTGCCGGGCAATTGCTTTGCAACACTCTCCAGGAGACGGAGAAGTAAAAGAGCAAAACGCTTCCGTCAATCCGTGCATGTCTGTCCCTTGCGGAGCAGACGGAGAAGCATAAACCAGGCTTTAGTCCCAGCAGGGAGTAGCTCTACTATACAAAAAACTCCTCAGCATACATACATAGAAGCACGAACATCACAGTTACAAAACATCAGACTCCGATAGGGAGGCGGGGGGGCGGGATCCCGAATCCCCCAACGGGAGCTGCCAGTGTACGACGCTCACCAGCTGCAGTCAAACAGGTGGGAGGGAGAGATGAGGGCCAGAGAGCACA